TTTCAGCGACTTGATGTCTTGTGTAGTGATCAACACAAACGCACAGGCGATGCAGAAAACCGTGAAAGAAACTCCACCCGGACTCCACTTCATCACAAACGCTCACGTGACTCTAGTCATTGCAGTGGGTATGAAGGTATGTCAAAGTCTGCTTTCCAATCTAATGAAGATCACAGGCTGGCACGAAACTAAGGCATTGATTTCGCCACAAAGGACCAGGGACTCCTACCGACTTCCAACCCCTGGAATATCAAGCAAAAGAAGGTGGATTATGCGCTCTTCATCAGATAGTACATTGGTTGACTATGTATTGTTATTTCTGACTTGCAGTCCGCTCTTTGTTTGATGAAACAGAGTTCGACACTCAGACCATGCCGGTCAATCAGCAAAAGAAAAGCGAACAAATGCATATCCGTAAGTCAGCTAAGGCTTCTGATGAGTGTGCAAATAGGATGACCATTCTCTTTGAAAACAGAGAGTTCAATGTTTGATCAAGCAGGCTTTTCTGGTGATTGGCGCAAGAAGCGCGTCACTAATAACGAGTCCAGGTTATCAGCTGCGCATGTCGAATTGGGCAAACGTCCACGGGAGGACGTGGACTTGGACTTCCCAGATCAAAGTCACATCTTTCAAAAGAAGTTTCGAGAAACCAAAGGTGATCTTGAGGGTATTTTTTTCCCGTGGACAGCTCTGATGAATTTATAATGGATGGCATCCCACTGATATGAACCCCCTGTTTGAACCTCTCTAGATGTTGATCGTGGGTCTGTATCTCGGACTGGCCACGTACAAAGGGATCAAGGTTCTGATCGAAGTCATTATGAGAAGAGACAAGGACACAAATTATCGCCTATAAGTAAGATATTTTACTCTGCTTTGTGTAGCAAGCATGGTCATACGAGCTGATGTCCAATGGGACTATTTTACAGTCGAGATTGATGTCACAGATCAAGAAGATGGGACTTATCTGCCCGTTTCCGACCAACGCGGCACAAATAGACTCGATTTATCAGACTCGCATGTCCCCAGGCCTACGAAAGGCAAAGGTAGAGCCGAAAATGCAGGTAAGCATCCATCAGCCTAATAGATTGTACTCTACTTCGCAGCATTGTCACCCGGGCTAATCGTGAAATGTCAATTTTTTGCAGTCAAGAGTGATGTTGCAGATCAGGAAGACTGTCCATCTCTGCCTGTTTCCGACCAACGCGGGCCAAATAAACTCGACTTATCAGACTCGCATGTCCCCAGGCCTACAAAAGGCAAACCTAGAGCCAACGCTGCAGGTAAGCATCCATCAGGCTATGGATGATCGGTTTCTAAAGGTATCGGAACACGCAAGTTGAATTTTTTCTCCAATATAGTCATACATATGTTCGATCAACCAGGCCTTCCTGGCGATTGGCGCAAGACACGTGTATTGGTGAGCAAACCAGGATCAACAGCTCTACAACTGGAACGGGGCAAACGATTGCGTGAGAACGAAAGTACAGAAATTGCGGATGAAAGCTTGAGAAAGAGGCTGCGAGATGAAAGGCACGACCCCAGAGGTAAGTCATTTTGTGCTGTCAGCTCCAAGAAGATATCATTTCGGTTGATCATGAAATTTACCCTTCCAACATGTTTGCGCATCAATATACAAACCAAGATTTAGGCATAGAAAAACAACATAGCGGTACATCGGCCAACAATCTCCTGGCCAGCAGAAGGCGCTTAGCTGACAGCATATCCACCTCGCGTCGGAACTATACACAAAACTCCGATACCGCATATCAACTCAAATTGAACACCAGCAATTCAGATTCCGGTGTTGCCTCACAGAACCCACTTCCTGCTAGAACTAGTCACTATATGCCCTTGTTTCACGATGTCGATGAGTCACAGACTGCACAAGACCTCGGCGACGATATGGTTTATTGCATGGAGAACAAAGGAGTCAGGGGTGATAATAATGAAAATCAAGGTCACCAATTTCAGAGCCAAGCAAATGATAAAATGATGCCTATACGTAAGTTTACATGATAAGCTCTGGTTCTGCTGTACTTGCGCTAATCATAAGTGTACTCTCAGGCAAATCACGGGATCAAGTCCGAGAGATCCAGCACCATGTGAGCAGTTCCTCCTCATCAGGTACAACAAGGATGTCTATTTGCACTCCTACAGTTTCTCCAAGATACCATCAACCTATAGCTTCGACATCACGAGTTATCCACCCCCCGCAAATTAGAGACTCAGCATCACGATCCCAACCAAAACATGACCCTACACAAGCTGTCGCTTCCAGTTCCCCAAGATCAACTCGTCATCAAACCACTCATCTTTTCAAAAACATCAAGCATCAACCTGTAGCTCCATCCTCGTATATTGCACAGCCTCAACAACCTAGAGTCCCAACATCAACATTACGTATCTCACAAATACCACGAACTAGAAACTCCTCGTCACACGATGCCTCGACATCACATCCTCAAGAGAACGTAAGGCCAATAGCTTCAACATCACATATCTCAGCACAACCTCAACAACCTAGATCTCATATAGCGTCAACCTCGAATTCTGCACAAATCGAGCAACCCAGAGTCTCGACATCACGCCCTCAAGATAACAGTAGGCCTATAGCTTTAACATCACATATTTTACAAACACCACAACCCCGAAAGATAAGGCAACTCATAGAGACTCGCGACAGTCCGAGCCTTTCGCCTTCATCAGGTACGTCAAGAATTCTATCTGCACTCCTCCA